TGTGGGTTCGATTCCTGGTCAAAGGCATGTACCTGGGTTGCAGGCTCGATCCCTGGCCCTGTAGGGCGAGTTCAGGAGGCAACCAATTGATGTGTCTTTCTCACATCAATGTGTCTCTCTCTTCTCCCCTCTCTCCTGCTCCCTCCCTCCCACTCTCTCAAAAAATGAATGGGAAAAATATCCTCCGGTGAATATAAAAATAATAAAGAAGAACAACAAAAACTAACATATTTATCATAATCAAATGTTTATAAATATTATAGGGATACAGATATAGAAGTCAGCCATTGGATATTACTCCTGTATGTGAACAAATTTAGTCCTGAATTATCTTATAACTAGAGGCCCGATGCACGAAATTCGTGCAAGAGTAGGCCTTCCTTCTCCTAGCTGCCGGCACCGGCTTCCCTCTGGCACCCAGGACACGGGTTTCCCTTGCAGCCCCGGCTTCATCCAGAAGGTCGTCCGGAAGGATGTCTGGTCTAATTAGCATATTATGCTTTTATTATTATAGATCAGTATACCCAGTGCCTTGACATTTTCCATGTTAAGAGTCAAATGCTCACTGTAGTTCTGTGTATAAAATGGCTGTAGGGATAGGAATAGTTGGTTATTTGACACCATAATTGTGTTTAAGAGAGTCCTGGCATTCCATATTCTGTTTGATTATCAATAACTAGAGGCCTGGTGCATGAAATTCCAGCCTGGCCTGTGCTCTCACCCTGGCCTGTGCCCTCTTGCTCCCCACGAGGAGCAGAGCGGGCCTAAGCTGGCAGTCGGACATCCCTCTGACAGTCCGGGACCCCTTGCTCCTTACTGCCCGCCTGCAGCGGAGGCGGGAGAGGCTCCCGCCACCACCGCTGCGCTCGCCAGTCATGAGCCCAGCTTCTGGCTGAGTGGCACTCCCCCTGTGGGAGCGCACTGACCACCAGGGGGCAGTTTCTGTGTTGAGCATTTGCCCCCTGGTGGTCAGTGCACATCATAGCGACCAGTCGTTCTGCCGTTCGGTCGATTTGCAGATTAGCCTTTTATTATATAGGATTATTATGCAGCCTGGCCAGTGTGGCTCAGTAGTTGAATGTCAGGAGATTGAACCTGCAATCTTGGTGTATCAGGACGACACTCTAACCAACTGAGCTACCCAGCCAGAGCTCAAAAGTTGTGTATCATTTTATCATTTGGCAATTCATTTTAAAGTCTTTCCCCCTTTCTAGTTATTACTTCAGATTGGTCAGCAGGTAATTCTACCATTTAAATCTTATATCTTGTTTCAAAATTGGTGTGGTAGCAGGGAATTCACCAAGATTGTGATGATATTTATAGAAAATCTATTATCTATGACAATTTTTTAAAAAAAAATTTTTTATTGATATCATAGAGAGGAAGGGAGAGGGAGAGAGATACAGACATCAGTGATGAGAAAGAATCATTGATTGGCTGCCTCCTGCATGCCCCTGACTGGGGATTGAGCCTACAACCCAGGCATGTGCCCTTGACCGGAATCAAATCCGGGACCCTTCATTCCACAGGCTGATGCTCTATTCACTGAGCAAAACCAGCTAGGGCTATGACAATTTTGTCCTTAAAAATTATTGTTATCGTTGATTGATCACCTTCTTTCATTACTTTTTGTTAACACATTTCGTACCGCTCCGGAGTTTTCGCGTGTTTCGCGCGCCATCTGTTAAGGACCGCTCATAAGTGTTCTCGTTTTTCACACCCATGGAAAAAGGAGCGAATCTAGATACTTATGTAAATTTTGTTTGGTCCCTCTTCATAGAGGAAAATGTTTTACGCAGTACCATACGTTAAAAAAGTACTAGGAACTTTAATTGTTTAATTGTTTTTGTAAATAAAAATGTTATAATTATTGAAAAACAACACCTAAAGTGCATTATGATGATTTAAATAACATGCAGTTTGCCCAAAAACGTGCGGTCCCTGGCGTATGTTTTAGAGATTTCTATGCGGTATGCAATGTGTTAATACATTTTTATTGATTTCAGAGAGTAAGGGGAGGGAGAGAGAGATGGAAACATCAGTAATGAGGTAGAATCATCGATCGGCTGCCTCCTGCATGCCCTTTATTGAGGACTGAGCCCGCAATCTGGGCATGTGCCCTGACTGGGAATCGAACTGTGACCTTCTGGTTCATAGGTTGACGCTCAACCACTGAGCCACACAAGCCGGACTTCCTCCATTTTTATATTACAGACTTTTACCGAACTTTGTTTTTGTTGTCTCATTAATCATATTAAAAGCCAGAAATTTTGCTCTTGCCCTTATTTGTTTGCTTCTTTATCCACTATTGCTAAGGAATTTTGATGTATATAATATTGGTAGCATTGTTATTAAAGAATTTTCCTTAATGGTTATTTTATTCGTTGGAATTGAGTATAACATTCTATACTGTAATCATTTGGTGGTCTTGTGAATAATCTTGTATTAGCTGAAGTACTTAGTACGTATAACAAACATTTTCTCCTGTACTAAAACAGAATATTAATTTTGTTAACCCTTAATTTGAATGAAAATATAGTGTTCTATTCACTTAGTACTAGTAACACTACTTTTGTTGAATGATCCAGGAAAATATTTTTTGTATAGAAGGGAAAATTGAAGCCCTTTCATTTACAGGAGGCCTGCCAATGGTGGCTTGTTGTATCTGGAGGCTTTTATCCCTAGTAGTTTGTATTTTGGAGCTCACATACCTCCTTTTGCCCTCACTGGCATAGGTTTATTCCCCTATGTTTCAAACTGCAGGAAGATCTGATAACCTCATGACGTTTTTATTTTTTTGTCTTAGTAGGTGAAAGCTAAATAAAAATGCTGTGTGAGTGCTAAGTTATAACACCTTGTTTTCTTAAAATATTTACTTTATTCTTTTAAAAAAGCAGTAGCAAATTTGTCTCAAATCCTAGGGTTGGATTTATTAATCAGACTGGCTTAAAGATGGTCTTGGATATGAGAGCTGTAGTCTTAGTGCAAATGATAAAACTATCAAGTCTTTCCTCTACCAGGTATGTTTAAGCACCTGGCTGGTATGACTCAGTGTTTGAGCGTCAATCTATGAACCCTGTTACATTCTGGTCAGGACACATGCCCGGGTTGCTGGCTTGATCCCTGGTATGTACAGGAGGCAGCTGATCCATGTCTCTCATCAATGTTTCTATCTCTATATCCCTCTCTATCCCTCTCTCTAAAATCAATAAAAACATGTTTTTAAGTAATGGATTAACCTTCCAGAGTTATATAGAGATAAGGCTTCAACAGGAAGGTGTGAGTTTGAAGCAAAATTTTAGAAACCTGTAAATAGCTTTTTATTAATCTATTTGAGAAGGCTATGAAAGAACTTAAAACCACCACAGTCGTGCACATCCAGTACTGAAGAGAATTTTATTATTTTAAATATATTTTTATTGATTTCAGAGAGCAAGGGAGAGGGAGAAAGAGAGAGAAACATTAATGATGAAAGTCATTGATCGGCTGCCTCCTGCCTACTGAGGATTGAGCGTGCAACCTGGGCATGTGCCCTTGACCAGAGTCGAACCTAGGACCCTTCAGTCCACAGGCTGACACTCTATCCACTGAGGCAAATTAGCTAAGGCCTAAAGAGAATTTTATATTTCTCACTTAGTTTTTAGGCATAATAAGCTTGCTTAAATATCTCTCTCTCGATCTGACCATGTTGGTAATATTTTTTCTTTGTCTTTCCATTGTCTCCCCATTTGAGGATTGTATTAAATTGAAGAGAGTAATCAATTTCATTGACTTTGATTTTCCACATTATTCACAAAGATCCTAAACTAGCAAGACTCAAGTAATTTACACAATATTTCTTTATTACACCTTCAAAATTTTTTAAAGTTAAAATTACCTGGGAAATTATTTTTGATATTTATATTTTCCTAAAAATTAATTTATGCATGAGGTGTAGTGGTAGTAATAATAGTAACAGAGCAGAGCTACTTCATTTATTGAATGCTGTCATATTCCAAACTCTCTAAGCCCATGTGTTATTACTTTTATTTTATTTTTGTTATTCCTCACCCGAGGATATTTTTCCCATTGATTTTTTTTTTTTTTTTAAGAAAGAGTGGGAAGGAGGGAGGGAGGGAGGGAGAGAGAGAGAAACATTGATGTGAGACACATCGATCGGTTGTCTCCAGTATGCACCCCAACTGGGGCTGAGGATGGAACCTGCAACCCAGCTATGTGCCCTTGTCTGGGAATCGAACCCAAGACCCTTTGTGTGTGGGCTGATGCTGTAACCAGTGACCCATGTCAACCAGGGCAACCTGTGGGTTTTTTTTAAATTTTATTATTATTTTTAAAATTTTGTTTTATTGCTTAAAGTATTACAAAGAGTATTACATATGTCTCCTTTTTTTTTTCCTTGACCTTCCCCCAGCCTCCCCTACCCCCCAGTGTCTTATGTCCATTGGTTATGCTTATATGCATGCATACAAGTATGTGGGTTATTTTATTTAATTCCTAACTCTATGAGATAGATACTATTATTATTATTTCTGTTTTATAGATGTGTAAACTGAGGCTTTAGTAAGAGCTTAAGTGACTTGTCCAAGAGTACCTACTGTATGTCTAAGCTAAGATTTGAATTGATGTCTCTGAATCAATAACCCATATATCCACTGTTCTATTATTATTATGACCCTTATGTGAATTGTGTTCATTAGTCTTATTTACTTGGAAAAATTATTCAAATTTTGCATTCAAGAATGAAACATTTGCCTTTAGGTGGCATGTGGTAATGTAAAAGATTGTTTATTTTGCCTCCACATTGTCAGGCCACTGTTTGCTGTCTTCTGCTATCTCTGAAGGTACAGTATGAAATGGATGTTGAGAAGGTAGGGCATCCTAAAGTCTCAGGCCTAAAGTTTAGACCTTTTAATTGTTGCCAACTTGTTGATTCTAAGAAGTTTTATATGCTCCAGTATTTTGTTTCTCTTTTCACTGAAGTTTTTTTTGCCCTTCTGCAGCACTGATTCTAGCAGTAGTTCAAGTGATGACTCTCCAGCCCGGTCAGTTCAATCCGCAGCAGTCCCCGCACCCACTTCCCAGTTGCTTTCATCCCTGGAAAAAGATGAGCCCCGTAAAAGTTTTGGGATCAAAGTTCAGAATCTTCCAGTACGCTCTACAGGTAAAAACTATACTTTTCTTTCTGTTGCTGTTGGGGAATGAGAGACCAAGCAACTTGAATTCTATACTTCGTTGTGACAAGTTTTTTTTTTTTATGGTGGTTTTTTAAAAAATTGATTTCAGAGAGAGGAAGGGGGGGAGAGAGAGAGAGAGAGAGAGAGAGAGAGAGAGAGAGAGAGAGAGAGAGAAACATAAATGATGAGAGAGTATCTTCGATTGGCTGCCTCCTGCATGCCTCCTACCGGGGACTGAGCGAGAAACCCCAGCATGTGTCCTGACCAAGAATCAAACATGACCTCCTGGTTCATGGATCAATGCGCAACCACTGAGCAACACCGGCCGGGGACAACAAGCTTTTTAAAAAAATTTTGTTTTTCATCACCATTTATTTCCGCTATGTCCTCTTCCTCCACTTCCCCCTCCCAATCATCACATTGTTGTCCATGTCCATGAGTTCTCTCTCTCTTTTTTTTTTACTTTGCTCCATCCCTCTAACTCTTCCCCTTCCATGCGCAATAAGCTTTGTTCTTGTGGTTCATTAACATCTAATGCCATGTAAGAAAAAGCAAGTGGTTATTATTATAATTTTATGTAGTGTCTAGGTTGTTACATATTTAATCCAGCCTAGACACTAATGTTAGGGGAAATGTGTTATGATGAAAATGTAGAAATACTATTTTTAGTTAGATTTATTATATTGCTCTGGAGTCCTATGTTATGTGAAATAATTTTGGACATAAAATTATGATAGGAAACCCATTTCAAAAAAGTTAAGAGTTTGCCTGGCTGGCATGGCTCAGTGATTGAGCGTCGACCTATGAACCAGGAAGTTACAGTTCGATTCTCGGTCAAGGCATATGCCTGGGTTGCTGGCTCGAGCCCTAGTAGGGGCATGCAGGAGGCAGCCAATAAATGATTCTCTCTCATCATCATTAATGCTTCTACCTCTCTCCCTCTCCCTTCCTCTCTGAAATCAACAGAAATATATTTAAAAAAAATATTAAGAGTTTAAATGAGGAAAATCATGAATAATGGAAAAGTCTAGTGAAAAGCTATACTGTAGTCTTTCCTTTACTCCTGATATTTTAAAATGACAATTGACCACAATATACTGTTATTCCTATATTAGGCATATTACCTATGAAAACAACATATGTATGGTCAAAACGAAAAAGATCAAACTAAATGTTTCTTGGCTAAGTGCATTTCAGTGATTACTTAACTTATTTATTAAAACACAGCTGGTCGGAGTGCAGTGGTGTCTTACAACTAATTGATCACAGCCAGTTACAGATTTCTTTGTTCCTTCTCCACTCCCACTGCTTCACTTGACTAGCCTTAAAACAAAAACAAAAACAAAAAAACAGTCTATAGTCCCACTGGCGTGGCTTAGTGGTTGAGTGTTGAACTATGAACCAGGTTGTCACAGTTCGATTCGTGGTCAGGGCATATGCCTGGGTTGCTAGCTTGATCCCTAGTGTGGGCATGTAGGAGGCAGCCAATCAATGATTCTCTCTCATCATTAATGTTTCTATCTCTTTATCCTCCTCCCTTCTTCTAAAAAATAAAATAAAACAGCCTATAAAATCTGCATACCAGGTTTGTGAATAGAGATATTGAGACACAAATGTTGAGCTTTTGATTTAGATTACTTGGTAATTTAGGAATAGATGAGGGTAAAATTGGCTTGTCTTTTTATATAATCTTGATTCTTATGATGAAGCAAATTAACACAGGACCCCCAGATGGCATGATTCATCTGTAAAATGCCTGAAAGTTGTTTAGGATGTTGCATGCCACTTCCCACACATTTTTATCATTGACACGATGCTTGGGAAGCTAGAAGTATGGTTTTCTTTTTGAAGTCGTTAAAAGTTTTACATATGTTGTTTTCATGTATGTAAAGTTTTTATTATGAAAGTTTTAAAAAATATTTTTTATTGATTTCAGAGAGGGAGGGAGAAATAGATCAATGAGGAAGGGAGAGGGAGAAAGAAATAGAAAGATCAATGATGAAAAAGAATCATTGCTTGGCTACCTCCTGTATGCACCCCACTGGGGATCGAGCCTGCAACCCAGGCATGTGCCCTGACTAGGAATTGAACGGTGACCTCCTGGATCATAGGTCGATGCTCAATCACTGAGCCACACCAGCTGGGTGAAAGTTTTAAACATAACCAAAAGTAGGAGTAGCAAAATAAACTCCCCTTACGCTATACTCCAGATTTTTTTAAAAAATCAATAAATCTTCTAATACTCAGTTTATTTCAGAATTGTACAGTCATCTCCAAAATACCTTTTAGAGTTATTGTGTTTGAAAACATAATGTTTTAATGCTAACAAAACTTAGGTTAAAAATCAGGCTAATAATTAGCTTACTTATTGAGTTGTAACTAAATTAGAAAAATAAGCAACTTGTTTTTATTTGGCGATTTAGATACAAGCCTTAAAGATGGCCTTTTCCATGAATTTAAGAAATTTGGAAAGGTGACTTCAGTGCAAATACATGGAGCTTCAGAAGAGAGGTATGGCCTGGTATTCTTTCGACAGCAAGAGGACCAAGAAAAAGCATTGACTGCATCAAAAGGAAAACTTTTCTTTGGCATGCAGATTGAAGTAACAGCATGGATAGGGCCAGGTAAGAGAAAAGGAATTTGTGTAATTTGTATTCCAGCCTATGAAACAGCAGCCTAGTATTCTAAATGTGGACACTATTCCAGCTTTATTTATTGTTCAGCTTAATAAACTGTTGTTTTAGTTAGGGAGGGTAAAAATTGTGTTTCTATAAGGGAGAAATGCTGACTTTAAAAAAAATTGATTTATTGGTTGCTTCTTGTATGTGCTCTGACCAGGGATTGAACCCACAACCTTGGCATGTCAGGACAATGCTCTTACCAACTGAGCTATCCAGCTAGGGCAGAAATGCTGACTTTTAATAGGAGTGACTGAAAGGCAGAGTTTAGCCCCTTATTGCGTCCTGCTTTCCCAAATGAATTAACTTGATTGAGATAAGGAAATAGTTTCTAGGAGAATAACAACAGAATTATCCTGGATTAAATTTAAAAATAAATTACTTGTTATATGGATTTGAGGGGCTAGTTAGACCAGTTTTATTTCCATTATGCCCAGCACAATTGGATCTGTTATTCTGTCTTCTACGACCTTAAAGATAGTGACGGAAAAGCAGGGCTAACTTAGTGTGACCCATTGAGAATTTCAAGGGGACATTTTATTAGCTTGAACTTACCTGAAAGGCCTATTATAGGGCAGGAAGTCTTCTCAGGCATGAATTGGACCAATGTTTTCTCCAGTTTAGAATCACCTGCAGAGCTTGTTTAAAATGCAGACTCTTGGACCCTACCCCAGCTTGCTGGTTCAGAATTCACATATGCATGTTTGGGAACCCCTAATTTAAGGCATCTTGTGAGTAAATTTGTAAAGGAATGAATAGAAATGTTAAAATTATACAGTCCCATTATGTAGCTGAGGTGAACTTTAAGACTAAACTTTGAGTTTTGAATTTATAAGGTAAACATCGCTCATTTTCTTAGTTATTTATTTTATTTAATTAAGAGGAAAAGTAATATTCCTGAAAAGAATGTTATTTGTGTATTAAAACAGACACAGAGGTGTTAGAGTGAATAATGTAAAATGTGCATAATTTTGTGATAAAACACTAATTCAGAGGAATATTATCTTTTCAAAGGAATTCTAGGTTATGTCTTCATGTTCCCACTTCTCTGCTAGTTTTGAGATACTGCCCTAAGTTATACTGGGTTAAGAGCAGTTCTTATTTAACACATTTAGAATTATATTTAGAATGTCATCTATTCTTAAGGAACTGACATATATAATTAGTGAGGATCTTATGTAAGTAGTGAGGATCTAATTTAGGGTCATTATTGAGAGATGACTAACTGATATCCAAGTGGTGAGGCTAGCTCGAGATTTTTACAGTAAAAAAGCATTTTATCTAAAACATTTACCTAAAACCCAGGATGTAATTGGGTTTTAATCACCTACCCGTGAAGATTTTGAGAAGTTTGGTTAATTTCAAGCATAGGAAAGCTGAAGCTACCTTTTCAAGATGGGACAACATGAAACACCTGTTTAATGGGATGTGGAAAGCAATCAAATTTGAATATAGAGACTTGGTTGGAATTCTGCTGTTGGATGATTTGTCATAAATGTTTTGTATTGAAATGTATGGAGCTGATTTCTTCTTTAGGTCAAGGACCTCTTGAAGAGTCATTTAGTCTTTTTCTAGTTGTCATTGAGGTCTGTACACCACCAAAAGAAGATATTTCATAAGTGTTGTTTCAGTCCGTTATCATGCAATTATTATTCTTGTATCTAAAATTTGCTGCATTGAGACAGGAATTTGGGTTGTGTTGATTATGATTAATAGGACAAATGTAAAATCTTAAGTATTTCATAAAATGTTGAAAGTAAATTAAGTAATGAAGCTGGACTGATTTCATTTGAGTTTTATGTATAGGTTATACTCCACGTTGAGAGCCTGCAACATAATTTTGGAACTTAACACATTGCGGACCTGTCGTTTTATTGCTAGCTTTACCCAGTGGCCAGATAAATTTCTATTGAATGAGTACAAACAACATTTTACATAAATATTAAAGGCATGCTTTAAAATTAAATACCCATTGCATTTTGAAGTTATTTATTACATGTTCTTACAAGCTAATATCTTTTTAAAGCATGATACTTTGTAAAACACTGTGTAATATGAAACAAGAATTCTCATGAACCATCCACAATGTGTTAAGATTAGGCTAAAATAATTACCATTTTTCTGGGATTTAAAATAAATTTCTGTGTTAAGTGATTATTTTTTCAACAAATCAACTTGCAGATTGAAATTCCGTCCACTTTCCTATTTTAAAAATCAAAGTGTTACTTCCCCCTACTTTTGGGACAAGTTCGTTAGCCTTTGTATTCTTCTTTTGCTATTTCTGAAGGTGTGTATAATTTTTCAGATTGTATGAGTACTCAAGCCCAATGTTTCAGAGATTTACTTTCGTAAATGTAGATTTCCCCCTATGATATATAAATATAAATACACATCAAAACACTCTTCTCTTTTTACTCTGCCCCCATCCCACTTATAGAAACAGAAAGTGAAAATGAATTTCGCCCTTTGGATGAAAGGATAGATGAATTTCATCCCAAAGCAACAAGAACTCTCTTTATTGGCAACCTTGAAAAAACCACTACTTACCATGATCTTCGAAACATCTTCCAGCGCTTTGGTGAAATTGTGGTATGTTGTCTTTTTCATAAGACAAAGCAAAGTTACAGATTATATTTGGAAAGATGATATTTAGATGGTGTAATGAATGTTTTTTTAATTTGTCCTATTTTAATTTAACTCTCGCTAAAACATGATCTAGCAAAACCCATTGGAGAGTATTTATGTGTGTATGTAAAAATGCATAATGTATATTTGTCTTTATTTTGTTTACATATATATTTTCCTATCCAGTTTTTCTATCTTCCTTTTCCTATTGGGTGCTGTTTCAGTGCCATCTTTAGTCCTGTGGATTGAAAGGGAAATCTGGAAGAGAAAATATATTTGTAAGAAAGAAGCAGCAGAATAGTGTATGACTATTGTGTTACCACGGTGCTCATCAGAAAGCACCTTGGGGATTACTAGAACATGGATATCATGCTGGAAGCTCAGTTCTATTTTGAAATTTTAATTAGAATCACTTTTTATATTAGGCAAGTCATAGTTAGGTTTAGGAGTAGAAGGGTTTTTCTGTTCTCCATGGCTCAAAACTTGAGTCAGTTTATAGTGAAAATAGTTTGGCCTGGCTGGTGTGGCTCAGTGGTTGAACATCGACCCATGAACCAGGAGGTCATGGTTTGATTTGGTTTGACATCCTGTCAGGGCACATTCCTGGGTTTCAGGCTTGATCCTCAGTGTGGGGCATGCAGGAGGCAGCTGATCAACGATTCTCTGTCAACGTTGATGTTTCTATTTCTTTTTCCCTCTCCCTTCCTCTCTCTGAAATCAATAAAAACCTATTAAAAAATTTTGACTACTCAAAACATAGTTTGGTTACAGCTCTTAAGATATACTGTTTTTTGTTTTAATTTTATTAAAAAAATTTTAAAAATCTTTTATTGTTGAAAGTATTACATTTGTCCCTTTTTTTCCCCATTGACCCCTTATAGGGGGATGTACTGTTTTGTGATAGAAAAAATAGGGAAGTTACTTCTTTAGATTTTCTTTATATTAATAACAAAAAAGTTGCCCTAGTATATTTGTACTATATTTAAAAATGTTATAGGTAGGAATAGCTCTTACTAATCTTTTGAGATGTGTGTGTGTCCTTTTGTCTGTCTATCCATCTATCTTGTATACCAGCAATTTTTAACCTTTTTCATCTCATGGAACCCATAAACTAATTATTAAAATTCTGTGGCACACAAAAAAATAGGTGTAATTTTGATTCATTCACACTAGACGACTATTAGCTGTTGTAATTTTTTTATTTGACAATCTAAAGGAAAAGAGGTCAGTGCCCCTCACTAAATAGGCAGGTATTGCATGTTTTAAAAATCCTTATGGTAGCCCTGGCCAGTGTGGCTCACTTGGTTAAGTGTCCTCCCAATGTACCAGAAGGTCATTTCAATTCCTGGTAAGGGCACATGTTTGGGTCATGGGATTGAGACCTAGTAGGGGCATGCTGGAGGCAGAATCGATGTTTCTCTCTCTCTCTCTCTCTCTCTCTCTCTCTCTCTCTCTCTTCCTCTCAAATCAATAAAAACATATTAAAAAATTCTTGAAGCACACCAGTTGTACCTCCAATTGAAAATCACTATTATACACTAATGCTCTAAGCAAAAGATCCATTCATTCATTCATTTTCCTCACCCGAAGATATTTTTTCCATTGATTCCTAGAGAGAGTGTAAGGGAGGTAGGAGAGGGAGGGAGGGAGAGAAACATCAATGTGAGAGATCTATCAATTGGCTGCCTCCTGCACATACCCCTACGGGGGCAACTGAGGTACATACCCTTGACTGGGAATGAAACCCACGACTCTTCTGTTCACAGGCTGATGTTCTAACCACTGAGCAAATTGGCCAGCGGGGGGGCCCCCCTTTTTAAATGGCATAGTCTAGTCCCATGACTAAAACATTATTTGTGTCTATGGCTGATGTAAAACCTCATTTTACTGGGGGAGGGGCAAGAGAATGAAGTGATTGGTAGAAAGTAAAGAAAAAGCAGAGATAATATATTTAGAGAAATATACCAGCAAAATATTCATCTTACTCTCTTTTTAAGTTATTTTGATTTTTTAAAGTTCTTTTATTTTTTTATGTGTGTAGTGGTGTACTCTAATTCTAGTTATATTGCCTACCTAGATGAGTGACTTGGAGTTCACATTACTATCTGAACTTCAGCTTTTTCTGCCTTGGCATTCATGAGTCTATGAATTGATAAAGCTTTCAGATATACTTTTATTCAAATGTAACTGCTACTTTAAATTTTGGAGGGGTATAAAAAGTTTTATTTGGACACATGGGTACATGTTTATCACCAAGGTTGCTAAAATTAGAATACTTGTGTTTGAGAGCTATGCTTCTCACTAAGGTGGACATATCAGTATTCTTTTTGGAAACCATAATCTCATCATGTTTGCAGTTGCTCATGGTTATCACTATTTTAATGAAACACAAACTTTGGGGAAATAGTCAGATAACAGATTATGCTATAGCCAGAAAGAACCTGGTAGTTAGTAAGTCTACCCACCATATTCTTTGGAGATTGTTTCTCTTCAGTAGAGTTATCCTGGGTTATTGCATTCTACTTAATAGTGAAAATCAAAGTGATTGCTTACCATTACTTACAACAATTTTGAGTATAAATTATTGTTTTTTTTTAAAGGACCCATCATACAGCTTTTAAATACATTCATTTTGCTATTTCAGGTTTTGATTATTGACTTGTGACCCTTAAGGAGGCTTAGATAATCATAATACTTACTCTGCAATATATGGTCCAGGTGATTATTGTTTAAGTCAATGTTTTGCCCTCCAAGTGTCTGGTTTCTCTGGACCATTCTCCTGTGTAAGCTAGGTTCTTTTTCACCACCTCCTCCAGGCAGGATCAGTCTGAGTGGGACTACAGGATTTGAGCATTCCAAAGAGATGGTGGTGTTCCTTCATAGAGTTTTTCTTTGACCCAGGGATGGTGTTCTGATGCATTTTCACAAAGTAGTTTGGGTATTTATATATCAATTCATATTGGATATGAGAGATCATTACCATATTTATCAATCACCAGGCTTGGTTCAGTGAGATACACTGATAGAAGAATGAGTCTTCTATTTTAGAATTGCATATTGTAAATCACTTTTGAAAACTTGATTTCTTTGTTATTTTTACTCTTCTCAAATATTATTAATATTATTTTAGCTTTTATTTTAATTTATTCCATCACCATTTATTCCCTCTGTGCCCTCTTTCACCTCCATCACCTCTCCGCCTCCTCATCCCACAAACATCACACTGTTGTCCATGAGTTCACTCTCTTTTATTTTTTCCTTTTTTGCTCAATTCCTCCACCCAACCCCAACATAGATAGTATTTCTATTTATTTATTTATTTATTTATAAAATATATCTTTATTAATTTTTAGAGAGGAAGGGAGAGATAGGGAGAGATAAAAACATCAATGATGAGAGAGAATCATTGATTGGCTGCCTCCTGCATGCCCCCCACTGGGGATCAAGCCCACACCTAGGCATGTGCCCTTTACCAGAATAGAACCTGGGACCCTTCAGTCCACAGGCTGACACTCTATCCACTGAGCCAAACCAGCCAGGGCCAGATAGTATATTTTAAATGGCCTGTTTCTAGTAAGTCCTTCAGATACTGCAGAATTATTTTTTAGGTTTTCACAAAATAGGCTGCCTTTTCTTTACTATCATACATTTTTCTTAAAATAGGTATTATAAATTTCAAATTTTGAGTTGTAGTGCAGTTGCTCTTCTGCAGAGAGTTTCATGAGAACGATTTCATGGTTTGTGATTACAGATGCTGTTATAATAGGTTTTTACACTAATTTACAGTTTCATGAAGATGTACAATTTTAAGAAAATTATTTTTGGGAATATGACTATTTTGAGAAATATATATCTCATATAGACTTTATGAGGTTTATTTTGATTTATTTTCTTGTTGAAAATAAATTTCTGATTACTTTTTTGTATCATTAAGTGGTATCCATTGGCCTTTTCAGGATATTGATATTAAAAAAGTTAATGGAGTTCCTCAGTATGCATTTTTGCAATACTGTGATATTGCCAGCGTTTGTAAGGCTATTAAGAAGATGGATGGGGAATACCTTGGAAATAACCGCCTTAAGGTAAAGAAATTTGCATAAATTATTGTACTGTTATGATTTTTCAGATTTGGAGGGTTTTGTTTGCATATGTCTCATTATTTAAGTTTTCAGTAATACAGTTAGATAACCGAAAGGTGGTACATTTCTGCATTCTCATTCTGTTATACTATAATCTAAAATAAAGACTTGCTTATTTAGGGAGTATTACTTTTTTTAAAAAAGTTTTTACTTGATATAACCCAATGGTTTTCCACTTGAGATGTTGGTTTGATGAGATTCCTACAGAAGGCAGGTTTTCTCAGAATTCTGTAGTTGAATAATTGGTGACTTTACTGACAGAAATTTCGCCTTTTATATTCAGCTGGGTTTTGGAAAGAGCATGCCTACAAACTGCGTGTGGTTAGATGGGCTTTCTGCAAATGTGTCGGATCAATATTTAACACGACATTTCTGCCGATATGGGCCTGTGATAAAGGTAGGTGGGAGGTTTTGGTATGTAGTTTAATGCTACTTCTGACTCTCTTTTCTGGATATTCTGTCCTTTCAGTCTCAATTTCTAGTGCCAACTTTTTCTTTTCTTTAATAACTCATACAATAAAATTCTCTTTTCTAAAATTTGGCCTAGAAGGGCAGCTCATCTATATTAGCTTATGATATGAATATTTTGAAAACTATTTTGAACCAGCTGAGATAATTAATTTTGAAATTAATGTACACAATACTGTTAAATAGAATGTTTCTTAGAGATTTTTATAATTTTATCTCACAGTAAAATTAGACAGTCTTTTTTTAAAAATATATTTTTTAGTGATTTCAGAGAGGAAGGGAAGGGAGAGAGAGCTAGAAACATCAATGATGAGAGAGAATCATTGATTAGCTGCCTCCTGCACGCCCCCCACTAGGAATCGAGCCCACAACCCGGGCATGTGCCCTAATCAAGAATCAAACCCAGGACCCTTCAGTCCACAGGCTGACGCTCTATCTACTGAGCCAAACAGGCTAGGGCTTTTTTTTTCTTAATGTATATTTTGATTGATTTCAGAGAGGAATGGAGAGAGAGAGAGAAACGTCAGTGAAGAGAGAGAATCATTGATCGACTGCCTTCTGCATGATCCACACTGGGGATTGAGCCCACAACCTGGAATTGAACCGTGACTTCCTGGTTCATAGGTCAATGGTCAACCTGTTGACTGAAGGGTCCCGGGTTCAATTCTGGTCAAGGACATGTATCTTAGTTGCAGGCTTGATCCCCATGCACGAGGCAGCCAATCGATGTGTCTCTTTCTGTCTCTCCCACTCCACTCTCTCTAAAAATCAATGGAAAAATATCATTGAGTGAGGATTAACAAAAATAAAATAAGTAAATAAATAAAATGTATGTAAGTATATTTTATCTTGACAGTGTCCTTGTGACTTAGGAGTTTGTTTGGGACTGATACTATGTCTAGTGGATGAGGCTCTTACTTTTTTGTTGTGTGTTTTTTTTTTACAGGTGGTGTTTGACCGCTTAAAAGGCATGGCCCTGATTATCTACAATGAAATTGAATATGCACAAGCAGCTGTAAAAGAGACCAAGGGGAGAAAAATTGGTGGGAATAAAATTAAGGTATGTAGAATAAAGGTAAACAGAAGCAAAACAAAGTCATATTCAGATCTTGCCCTTTTTTTGTTTAAATGTCTTCTTTTTATTGATTTCAGAGAGAGGAAGGGAGAGGAAGAGATAGAAACATCAGTGATGAGAGAGAATCATTGATGATGGTTAGATTGAAATAAGTCTTTTCCAAATAATATATCAATTTTAAAAAAAAGGTATTGATGATGGATATTATATGCTTTTTAGTGACTCTGAGGCCCAGCTCTGATTGCTGGATTTAGTTGTTCTGATTATTTAATTGACAACCTAGAATCCTGCTAGGTATCATTTCAGTTTTCCATTTTGCTTATCCCACTCCTTCTAGAACCTTATAAGGTCTAACTAGCCCCTCAAATCCATATAACAAGTAATTTATTTATAATTCTTTTTTTAAAAAATATATTTTTATTGATTTCGGAGAGGAAGGGAGAGGGGAGAGAGAGATAGAAACATCAATGATGAAAGAGAATCATTGATCGGCTGCCTTCTGCACTGGGATCAAGCTAGCAACCCCTGGCATGTGCCCTTGACTAGAATAGAACCTGGGACCCTTCAGTCCACAGGCTGACGCTCTATCCACTGAGCCAAACCAGCTAAGGCGAATCCTATAATTTTTTTATCAAGATTTTTAAAAATATATATATTTTATTGATTTTTTACAGAGCGGAAGGGAGAGGGATAGAGAGTTAGAAACATCGATGAGAGAGAAACATCGATCAGCTGCCTCCTGCACACTCCCCACTGGTTATGTGCCCGCAACCAAGGTACATGCCCTTGACCGGAATCGAACCTGGGACCCTTGAGTCCGCAGGCCAACGCTCTATCCACTGAGCCAAACCGGTTAGGGCCCATAGTTTATTTTATGTTCTTACTATGGTTCCAGCAAATTTATGCACAACAGAGATTGCTGGATTTAGTTGTTCTGATTATTTAATTGACAACTTAGAATCCTGCTAGGTATCATTTTAGTTTTCCATTTTGCTTATCCCATTCCTTCTAGAACCTTATAATTCTTTTTTTAAAAATATATTTTTATTGATTTCAGAGAGGAAGGGAGAGGGGAGAGAGAGAGAGAAACATCAATGATGAAAGAGAATCATTGATCGGCTGCCTTCTGCACTGGGATCGAGCTAGCAACCCCCGGCATGTGCCCTTGACTGGAATCGAACCTGGGACCCTTCAGTCCACAGGCTGACGCTCTATCCACTGAGCCAAACCAGCTAAGGCGAATCCTATAATTTCTTATCAAGATTTATGTAGAATTTGAGAGAGATTTCAGAGTAACAAAATACAGTTTGTTATGAGGGTTATTTCACTTAATTTAGAAAGATTGCTCTTTCTTGAAATAGTCTTGAGGACTATTTTGGGAAGAATTAAAAAATTTGGTAACTTTTCATTTTTTAAATCTGAAACTTGCAGATATACCTGCTATTCTTTTTTCTTTAAGGTGGATTTTGCAAATCGGGAAAGTCAGCTGGCATTTTATCACTGTATGGAAAAATCTGGTCAAGATATCAGAGACTTTTATGAAATGTTAATGGAAAGAAGGTATGTATTTTAAAGTTATCAGCATAGTTTGATTTTTAAAAATTTTAATACATAAAATTGAGATGGGATTAAATTTTATTTTTCATTTCTTATTTCTATTCTTACTCCAAAAAACCTTTTTCCTTTATACAGAAACAGGTTTATTTTTATGAATCCTGTTTTCATGTGGCTCACGGGAGTTGGGTAACCTATCTGTATTTCTCACTGACTACTCCTACATTTTGCCACATTAGTATAGATCATCTTGCTGTATAGTTTTGAATTAAATACAACATGTTGAAGTACATTATAAATTATTAAATGCCCTGTATATTTACAAATGAGAACATCCAGGTTGTCAACATACATGTGCTTATACAATTAGTTTAAAAAAACAACTTTCAAAAGGCTAAAGAGCTTTGTTTTAAATTCAACTCTCTTTGTTTTAAATTATTTGTGAATCAGTAATCTAAAATATATATAAATTGCTAACTTTAGCAGTGTAAAAAGTAAACCTTATTTCTCTCATTATTTTTTCAATCAATCATGGTATGTAGTTTTTGATATTTTTTCTGCTGCTTGTAAGAACCAATACAGTTCAGAATAATTTAAGATCTCACTGTCTGAATCATGTTATTTCTGTTAGCTTAAAACTACCCCCAAACTGATCATGATTCTTTTTTAGACTGAATATATTAAAATATCCTAACATAATGTCACCACATTCAATAGCTGATCACATTTGAAATTGGAAGCTATCATCCATATGATCAAGCTGGTTGTCCAAACATGTCTATGAGATTAAGTCTTCTGGAATGTTACCACTAGATCTCCACCCCCATATATGTGTTAGACAAAAGTCTGTGTGTGAAAAATGTCTTTAGACATTCTAGTTCAAGTATAAAAGGCTCTTTGACAAGAATGAGCCAAATCCTGATCCACCAGCTAAAAACCTGTTGAATACATTCTTTTTTTTACTGCCTCGTCACTTCATTTTTATTTAAATCATAGAAGGTATATATTTCTTTGAGTCATTTCCATGTGGAATATTGTGTAGTGGTCATTGAATAACTTGGAAGGTATTTCTTTTTTAAAATATATTTCTTTTGATTTCAGTGAGGAAGGGAGAGGGAAAGATGGAAACATCAATGATGAAAGAGAATCATTGATTGGTTGCCTCCTGTATGCCCCCTACTGGGGATTGAGCCTGCAATTATGGCATGTGCCCTGACCAGAAATCGAACCGTGACCTCCTGGTTCATAGGTTGATGCTCCACCACTGAGTCGCACCAGCTGGACAGCTTGGAAGGTTTTTAATCCCTACCCTAGGATATGTTTTTTTATTGGTTTTGGAGAGAGAGAGAAACATTGGTGTGAGAGAGAAGCATTGATTGGTTGCCTCCTGTATGTGCCCCAACCAGGGATCGAACCTGCAACCTAGGTATGTGCCACTTTTTTGGTATATGGGACAATGCTCCAATCAACTGAACCACCCAGCTGGGTCCTTAACTTGGAAAGCTTTTAAATGCAAAATGTCCCCCATAGCCAAATTCCCAACAGTTCACCCTTCTGCATGCCCTCTACTGGGGATTGAGTCCACAACCTGGGCATATGCCCTGACCTGGAATTGAATCCATCACCTTCAGGTGCATGGGACCATGCCCAACCAACTGAGCCATACCAGCCAGGGCAAAGCTTAACCTTCTTGATGGTTTTTCACTAGTAGTTTGGAATCCACATTCCAAAAGATAAAAAATCAGCAGTCCTCCAGAACCTTAGTCTTGATACAAAGCTTTTCTTTGTCAGGTGTGTGTGTGTGTGTGTGTGTGTGTGAGAGAGAGAGAGAGAGAGAGAGAGAGAGAAGCGCGAGCGCATAGGCACACACGTATGCATACATATGCAAGAGCATGTATGTATATGTAGAGACAGAAAAGTTTTTTATCCTGGCTCAGTTTGAAGTTATCATTAACTAGAGGCCCGGTACGTGAAAATTCATGCACTAGAGGGGGGCTCCCTCAGCCCGGCCTGCCCCCTCTCATGGTCCGGGAGCCCTCAGGGGCGGGAAGCAACCGGAGATCAGGGGAAGGAGACTCCCCCATCACACCTCTGCCGCTGCCACTGCCAGCAGCGCAAGCCTTGGCTGGCCCTGGTTACTTGAGCCTTGGGTGGCCCTGGGCAGCTGGAGGGCTGAGGAGACTGGGGGACTCCGGAGGCAGGCCTTGCTACACGCATGCTGCCCCAGCGGGGCTGAGGGGACTGGGCGCCGCCATCTTGTGGCTGTGGGCGCCGCCATCTTTGAGGGCATGGCAGTCAATTAGCATAGTCCCTCCTTATTGGCTGTGGGCACTGCCATCTTTGCGACAGCGTGAGGGTCAATTAGCATATTCCCTCTTTATTAGATAGGATACTTTAAGTGCTAACAGGAATTCTTACCCATAATTGAGTGGCAAGTGTTGGTGGTCTACTGGTACCTAACACATAAAAAAATCCATTCAGATCCTCTGTGTGTACATTAAATATTTTTCAAAGAACAGTATCTTGTGAGGTTGGATAATATTGTGTGGATGTTAATTTTTATTTTTTAAATATATTTTTATTGATTATAGAGAGGAAGGGAGAGGGGAGAGAGAGAGAAACATCAATGACGAGAGAAAACCACTGATAGGCTGCCTCCTGCACGCCCCCCACTAGGGATTGAGCTTGTAACCCGGGCATGTGCCCTTGACCCGAGTCGAACCCTTCAGTCCGCCAGCTGACGCTCTATCCACTGAGCCAAACCAGCTAGGACTGGATGTTAATTTTTATATATTACTACTTAAATTCACTTATTTTACTGATTATCTGATTCCAGCTTTTTTCTTTGATTCTTACCCATGGTTATTTAATCCCTGTTGAATGGAGTTTATAGTATCTACCAAAGTAGGAAGTGGGAGGGCGTGGGACTTCACTGTGAACTAGTTTTGCCTCATTTGGTTTCAGATGGCAGTGCTTATGGAAAATTAGAAGTCAAGAAAAGTAGTCCAGAGGTGGAGGATGCTTGAGTAGAACTTAGTGGTCTTTGCTTTTGCCATAGAGTTGAAGGTAGTTATCTCACTGAATAGTTGATTCATGCAATGAAAAAAATGCTTTACCTCTAATGATAGTTTAGCTCAGGAATGCAAATCATGTCCCATTTGCATAAGGGCTTGCAGTTTAAAAGTAGTATTTCATTTATTCCCTCAAATACTATGTCAGGAACATAGTATACTTGTTTCTCAAGTTGTAGTAAGAATATCTTTTGGCAGAAAAGTAATTATAAAAGACAGAAATGTGGGGATGTGATACCGTTTAATGCTGGTGCTTATTAAAAACCACAGTACCGCCCTAACCGGTTTGGCTCAGTGGATAGAGCGTCAGCCTGCGCACTCAAGGGTCCCAGGTTCGATTCCAGTCAAGGGCATGTACCTTGGTTGCAGGCACATCCCCAGTAAGGGAGTGTGCAGGAGGCAGCTGATTGATGTTTCTCTCTCATCGATGTTTCTAACTCTCTATCCCTCTCCTTTCCTCTCTGTAAAAAAATCAATAAAATATATATTTAAAAAAAAAACACCCCACAGTACCAAATACTAAAGGAATAAAATGGGTTGAACTACTGCTATTCAATAGAAATATAATGTAAGATACATCTGTGGTTTTAAATTTTCTAATAACCACATTAAAAAGTAAAAAGAAAAAGTGCAATTTTATTTAACTCAGTATATCTAAAATATATTATAATTTCAACATATAATCAAGTTAAAAAATTACTGAAGTATCTTTACTTTTTTCTTTTTTTGTGAAAACTAAATCTATCAATGCCAGTGTGTATTTTACACTCCCATGTCAATTCAGGCTAGCCAAATTCTAAGTTCTCAGTAGTCAGATGTGGCTAGTGCCAACAGTATTGGACATTACAGGTCTAACGACTAAATAATGGCAAAGATTATTAGAAGCAGGACTTTGTAATCTTATATGTATGATTTAATGTATAAATGACAAGGAAACAAAAGAATGAAATATTTTTTTGTTTGTTTTTGGCAGAGAGGAACGAAGGGGATCTTATGATTATAGCCAAGATCGCACCTATTATGAGAATGTTCGTACTCCAGGCACATATGCTGAGGATTCTAGACGGGACTATCCAGCTCGAGGGAGAGAATTTTATTCAGAATGGGAAACTTACCAAGGAGACTATTATGAATCTCGCTATTATGATGATCCTCGGGAATACAGGGATTACAGAAGTGATCCTTATGAACAAGATATTCGGGATTACAGTTACAGGCAACGGGAACGAGAAAGAGAACGCGAAAGATTTGATCCTGACCGGGACAGAGACCATGAGAGGAGGCCAATTGAACGCAGTCAGAGTCCGGTGCACCTGCGGCGCCCACAGAGTCCTGGAACATCTCCCTCACAGTCAGAGAGATTACCAAGTGATTCTGAGAGGAGGGTTTATAGCCGGTCCTCAGAACGGAGTGGAAGCTGTAGCTCACTTTCCCCTCCAAGATATGATAAACTTGACAAACCTCGTTTGGAACGCTATACAAAAAATGAAAAGACAGATAAAGAACGAACTTTTGATCCTGAGAGAGTGGAAAGAGAGAGACGCTTAATAAGGAAGGAGAAAGTGGAAAAGGACAAAACTGACAAGCAGAAACGAAAAGGAAAAGTTCATTCCCCAAGTTCCCAATCTTCAGAAACAGACCAAGAAAATGAAAGAGAACAGAGCCCTGAAAAATCAAGGAGTTTTAATAAACTGAGCAGAGAGAAAGCTGACAAAGAAGGAATAGCAAAAAACCGCTTAGAACTCATGCCTTGTGTGGTTTTGACTCGAGTGAAAGAAAAAGAGGGGAAGGTGATTGACCACACTCCATTGGAAAAGCTGAAAGCCAAGCTTGATAATGACACTGTTAAGTCTTCTGCCATAGATCAGAAACTGCAAGTTTCTCACATGGAGCCTGCAAAATCTGACTTATCTAAACTGGAATCTGTCAGAATGAAAGTGCCAAAGGAAAAGGCACTTTCAAGCCACATAGAAGTGGTAGATAAGGAAGGCAGGCTTAAAACCCGGAAGCACCTAAAACCAGAGCAGTCTGCTGATGGGGTAAGTGCTGTGGATTTGGAGAAGCTGGAAGCAAGGAAAAGGCGTTTTGCAGATTCCAATTTGAAAGCAGAAAGGCAAAAATCAGAAGTCAAGAAAAGTAGTCCAGAGATGGAGGATGCTCGGGTGCTTTTAAAAAAGCAGCTTGACACGCCATCTAAAGATGTCACTCAGTTGAAGGAAGGAGAGTCTGAGAGAAAGCCCATGAGGAAAGAAATTCTTAAAAGAGACTCTAAAAAAATCAAACTAGACAGACTTAATGCTGTTCCCAGCCCCAAAGACTGTCAGGAACTTGTCAGTATTTCTGTTGGGACTGGCTCAAGACCCATCTCAGACCTGCAAGCAAGGCTTGGAGAATCAGTAGGTGAATCTGCGGAAAATCAAGAAATTCAGCCAAAAAAACCTACTCCCTCCAAACCACAGCTCAAACAGCTGCAGTTATTAGATGAGCAAGGACCAGAGAGAGAAGATATTAGGAAAAACTATTGCAGTCTTCGTGATGAAGCACTTGAATGTAAATCAGGCCAAGAGAAACCACATTCAGTAAATACTGAAGAAAAAATTGGCATTGATATTGATTACACGCAGAGTTACCGAAAACAAATGGAGCAGAGTCGTAGAAAACAGCAGATGGAGATGGAAATAGCCAAGTCTGAGAAGTTTGGCAGTCCTAAAAAAGATGTAGATGACTATGAAAGGCGTAGTCTTGTTCATGAGGTAGGTAAACCCCCTCAAGATGTCACTGATGACTCTCCTCCCAGCAAAAAGAAAAGGATGGATCATGTTGATTTTGATATCTGCACCAAGAGAGAGAGGAATTACAGAAGTTCACGCCAAATCAGCGAAGATTCTGAAAGGACTGGTTGTTCTCCCAGTATCCGACATGGTTCCTTCCACGAGGAAGATGACCCCATAGGCTCTCCTAGGCTAATGTCAGTAAAAGGGTCTCCTAAAGTAGATGAAAAGGGACTCCCTTATTCTAATATGACAGTCAGAGAAGAATCCTTAAAATTTAATCCTTACGATTCCAGCAAGAGAGAACAGATGGCAGACATGGCCAAAATAAAACTAACTGTCTTGAATTCTGAAGATGAACTAAATCAGTGGGACTCGCAAATGAAGCAAGATGCCAGCAGATTTGATGTGAGTTTCCCAAACAGCATAATTAAGAGGGACAGCCTTCGAAAGAGGTCTGTACGCGACTTAGAACCTGGCGAGGTGCCTTCTGATTCTGATGAAGATGTTGAACACAAATCCCACTCACCCAGAGCGTCGGCATTATATGAAAGTTCTCGATTATCTTTTTTATTGAGGGATAGAGAAGACAAACTACGTGAGCGAGATGAAAGATTCTCTAGTTCTTTAGAAAGGAACAAATTTTATTCTTTTGCATTGGATAAGACAATCACCCCAGACACTAAGGCTTTGCTTGAAAGAGCTAAATCCCTCTCTTCATCTCGAGAAGAAAATTGGTCTTTTCTTGATTGGGACTCTCGATTTGCTAATTTTCGAAACAACAAAGATAAAGAAAAAGTTGACTCTGCTCCAAGACCTATTCCATCTTGGTACATGAAAAAGAAGAAAATTCGGACTGATTCAGAAGGAAAAATTGATGATAAAAAAGATGATCATAAAGAAGAAGAACAGGAAAGGCAAGAATTATTTGCTTCTCGTTTTTTACATAGCTCAATCTTTGAACAAGATTCCAAGCGCTTACAGCACCTAGAGAGAAAAGATGAGGAATCTGACTTCATTTCTGGTAGGTTATATGGAAGGCAGACATCTGATGGAGTGAACAGCACAACTGATTTGATTCAAGAGCCAGTAGTTCTTTTCCATAGCAGATTTATGGAACTCACACGAATGCAACAGAAAGAAAAAGAAAAAGACCAAAAACCTAAAGAGGCTGAAAAACAGGAAGATACAGAGGATCATCCCAAGACCCCAGAATCTGCTTCTGAGAATAAAGAGTCAGAACTGAAAACCCCATCTTCGACTGGGCCTCCTTGTGTCACTGTTTTAACTCCAGAGTCAGCATCATTGCCACTGGAGAAGACAGCCGGTGATAAAACAGGAGAGCTGCTTTCAGTGACAGAAGAGAAGACCATGGAGCCAGTCTCTGTCTCAGAAGAAGCAAAACCTGCATCTGAACTGGCTCCCCTTGTTGTGGAACAACCTGAACAGGCCGACTTGCCCCCAGGAGTGGACGCTGAGAAGGATGCTGCCGGGACTCCTTTAGTTGGAGAAAGTTCATCAGTTGACCAGCTGCCTTATCTGGATGCCAAGCCTCCAACTCCTGGGGCCTCATTTTCCCATGCAGAGATCAGTGGGGACCCAGAACCTGACAATACCCAACCACTTTCAAAACCGACTCAGAAGCCTAAGGAAGCTGATGAGCCAAAAGTGGACAAGCCAGACCCTACTGCTAGTGTTGAGCCCATTGCAAATCAGAAAGCTGAAGTTGTTGCTGAGGTTCAGCCTCAAGCTTCCGAAGGTGTAGAGGTTGATCCTCCAGTTGCTACAAAAGATAAAAAGCCAAACAAAAGTAAACGTTCCAAGACCCCCATACAGGCAGCTGTAGCAAGTATTGTGGAGAAGCCCGTCACAAGGAAGAGTGAGAGGATAGACCGGGAAAAACTCAAGAGGTCCAATTCTCCTCGGGGAGAAGCCCAGAAGCTCTTAGAGTTGAAGATGGAGGCCGAGAAGATTACAAGGGCTGCCTCTAAAAACTCAGCCCCGGACACTGAACACCCTGAGCCAAGTTTGCCCCTCAGCCGAACCAGGCGCCGGAATGTAAGGAGTGTCTATGCAACCATGGGTGACCACGAAAGCCGCTCTCCAGTCAAGGAGCCCATCGAGCAACCGAGAGTGACCAGGAAGAGATTGGAGCGGGAGCTTCAGGAGGCCGTGGCAGTTCCTACTACCCCTCGGAGGGGAAGGCCTCCAAAAACACGCCGTCGAGCTGAAGAAGAAGAGGAGACTGAGGCGAAAGAGCCAGTTGAAACACTTAAACCAGCTGAGGGATGGAGATCCCCACGGTCCCAAAAATCAGTAGCTGCTGGTGGCCCACATGGGAAAAGGGGGAAAAATGAACCTAAAGTTGATGTTGAACGTCCTGAGACCACCACTGAGGTGAGTCCCCAAGTAAATGTGAAAGAAAATAATACAAAATCTAAGACTGATAAAGAAGCAGCAGGAAGTGAATCGAAAAGAGACAAAAAAGAAATTGGCACAGACAAAACTCCACTTGAAACCCCCCCAGTTGAAGTGGTAGAGAAAAAAACAGCCCCTGAAAAAAATTCCAAATCAAAGAGAGGAAGATCTCGAAACTCTAGGTCAGCAGTGGACAAATCTGCAAATCTGAAAACCGTAGAGTCCAGTGTAAGTCCCACTGTGGCTCTGGGCCCTGCAGGGCTGGCTGTGGAGAAAGAAGCTGGGGTTGTGGCAGTCTCCCCTGAAAAGAGTGGGAGTCTACCCAAGGAGGGTCTTTCATCCCAGGTGAACTGTGATCCAGCTGGTCCAGACAAGGAGCCAGAGAAGGAAGATCTGTCTGCCCCTAAGCTGTCCCCAGAAGCAAATCAGTTAGCCAAGCAGATGGAGCTGGAGCAGGCCCGTGGAGAACATCGAAAAGCTCACTGAAACCTCTGCCTCCGCGGCTTTCAAGGCAGCAGCCACAGATGCACCAGAGGGCCTTTCCACAGAGGACAGGGACAAGCCTGCACACCAAGCGAGCGAAACAGAACTGGCTGCGGCCATTGGCTCCATCATCAATGATATTTCTGGGGAGCCAGAAAACTTCCCAGCACCTCCACCTTACCCTGCAGAATCTCAGACAGACCTGCAGCCCCACTCACAAGAGCTGCAGACTCCTGAGGAGGGAATGGAGCCTGAGACCAATGAGGCTGTGTCTGGCATCTGGGAGACTGAGGCTACTACAGAATCTTCTGGCCCACAAGTCAGTGCCCCTAACCCTTCCGCAGGCCCAGCAGATACCAAGGAAGCTGGAGGGAATAGCAGCGAAACCTCCCACCCAGTGCTGGAAACTAAGGGATCCAAAGAAGCTGAAGTGGCTCTCCCTCGGAAAGACAAAGGGCGCCATAAAACAACTAGATCACGCCGCAAACGGAATACAAACAAGAAAACGGGGGCTACTGCAGAGAAAACGGGGGCTACTGCAGAGACCCGTGTCTCACAACCCAACCAAGTTCAAAGCAATAATCCTGCCACAAATGAGGGGACAATGGTACAACCCCCAGAAGCTCCACAAGAAGAAAAGCAGAGTGAAAAGCCCCAGGTCACTCCTCCGGAGACATGTGCTTCTGACCCAAGTGAGACTCCATCCAGGGAAAATTTGTCCCAAGAAAGCAGTGTTGAAGAAAAGACTCCAACCAAAAGGACTGTGCTCCCAGACCCTCTCCCTCCCTCCCAGCCAGTATTGGTGGACAGTGAGCCCCAAGCCAGATTCAAGGTGCATTCCATCATTGAAAGTGATCCAGTGACCCCACCCAGTGATTCAAGCATACCTACCCCTACAATTCCTTCTGTAACTGCAGCAAAGCTCCCACCCCCACTGACCTCTGGGGGGATCCCACACCAGAGTCCCCCTACTAAGGTGACAGAGTGGATCACAAGACAGGAGGAACCTCGGGCTCAGTCCACCCCATCTCCAGCTCTTCCCCCAGACACAAAAGCCTCTGACATTGACACCAGCTCCAGTACGCTGAGAAAGATTCTCATGGACCCCAAATATGTATCTGCCGCAGGCATCACTTCCACGAGTGTCACCGCTGCCATTGCAGAGCCTGTCAGTGCTGCTCCTTGTCTGCATGAGGCACCAACCCCTCCAGCTGAACCTAAACAGCCTCTTTTAGAAGAAAAACCAGGAGCTCCAGTAACTGGTGCTTCTGACACCCAGGCCTCAGAGGTTCCAGTAGCCACTGACAAAGAAAAGGTGGCTCCAGTCATTGCTCCCAAAATTACTTCTGTTATTAGCCGGATGCCTGTCAGCATTGATTTGGAGAATTCGCAAAAGATAACTCTGGCAAAACCAGCTCCTCAAACCCTGACTGGCCTGGTGAGCGCCCTGACCGGCCTGGTAAATGTCTCCTTGGTCCCAGTGAATGCACTGACTGGCCCAGTGAATGCCCTGAAAGGCCCTGTGAAGGGCTCAGTGACGACACTGAAAGGTTTGGTGAACACTTCTGCTGGCCCCGTCAATGTCCTAAAGGGGCCAGTAAATGTTCTGACAGGGCCAGTGAACGTTCTCACCACTCCGGTGAATGCTACTGTGGGCACAGTGAACACTGCCACAGGTGTGGTGAATGCCGCTTCGGCTGCAGTGAGCGCTACAGCGGCGGCAGTGAGTGCTTCAGCGGGTACAGTGACAGTCACAGCAGGTGCAGTGACTGCTGCGTCTGGTGTTGCGACTGCCACCACAACAGGTGCATTGACTGTGGCAGGTGCCGTGATTGCACCACCAGCAAAGTGCAAGCAGAGATCAAGCACTAACGAAAACATTCGGTTCCACCCAGGGTCTATGTCTGTGATTGACGAGCGTCCAGCAGACTCAGGCTCTGGAGCTGGGCTGCGTGTGAACACTTCTGAAGGAGTTGTGCTCCTGAGCTATTCGGGGCAGAAGACTGAAGGCCCACAGCGGATCAGCGCCAAGATTAGCCAGATCCCCCCAGCGAGTGCCATGGACATTGAATTTCAACAGTCGGTATCCAAGTCCCAGGTCAAACCTGATTCTGTTGCACCATCACAGCCACCACCCAAAGGCCCTCAGACTCCTTCAGGCTATGCAAATGTGGCCACCCACTCAACTCTAGTACTAACTGCCCAGACATATAATGCATCTCCGGTGATTTCATCTGTTAAAGCCGACCGTCCTTCCTTGGAGAAACCTGAGCCCCTTCACCTCTCTGTGTCCACCCCTGTCACCCAGGGTGGCACAGTGAAGGTTCTCACCCAGGGCATAAACACATCCCCAGTGCTGGTTCACAACCAGTTGGTTCTCACCCCAAGCATAGTTACCACTAATAAAAAGCTTGCTGACCCTGTCACTCTCAAAATAGAGACTAAGGTCCTTCAGCCGGCTAACCTGGGGTCTGCTCTCACTCCCCACCACCCTCCTGCTCTGCCCAGCAAACTGCCTGCAGAAGCAAACCACATCACCTCAGGGCCCAGCACCCCAACAGATCGAACTGTCTCCCATTTGGCCGCCACAAAGCCAGACGCACATTCTCCTCGACCCAGTGGGCCTGCTCCATCTCTTTTCCCAAGGGCATGCCACCCCAGCAGGACCACGTCCACTGCGCTCTCCACTAATGCCACAGTCATGCTGGCTGCAGGCATTCCTGTGCCTCAGTTCATCTCCAGCATACACCCAGAGCAGTCTGTCATCATGCCACCCCACAGCATCACCCAGACTGTCTCCCTTAGTCATCTGTCCCAGGGTGAAGTGAGAATGAACACGCCCACACTGCCTAGCATCACCTACAGCATCCGGCCAGAGGCACTTCACTCACCTCGGGCCCCTCTGCAACCCCAGCAAATAGAGGTCAGGGCTCCACAGCGGGCAGGCACGCCCCAGCCAGCCACAGCTGGTGTGTCCTCCCTGGCCTCCCAACACGCTCCAGAGGAAGAAGTGCATTATCACCTCCCTGTTGCTCGAGCCGCAGCCCCTGTGCAGTCGGAAGTACTGGTCATGCAGTCCGAGTACCGACTGCACCCATACACTGTGCCCCGGGACGTGAGGATCATGGTGCACCCTCATGTGACAGCAGTCAGTGAGCAGCCCCGGGCAGCAGATAGTATAGTGAAGGTGCCACCAGCCAGCAAGGCCCCTCAGCAGCCAGGGAAAGAAGCTGCCAAGATGACAGATGCCAAAGCAGCCCCTGCCCCTCACAGCGAGGCCCGAATCCTTACAGTCACCCCCAGCAACCAGCTCCAAGGGCTGCCTCTGAGCCCGCCTGTGGTGGTGACCCATGGGGTGCAGATCGTACACTCCAGTGGGGGGG